GAATAACAAGTGTAATATCCACTAAAGCAAAGCTTAAGTATATAACACCAACACTATGGTGTATGGCAAGATTGGTTAATGACTGTCGATTGAGTTGAGTAGTTGTGATGATGAGAATTGGTGGCATATCTCGATTAATTGCTTGGTTGTTTTGATTGACATTATCTACCTTGTGAGGCTTGAGCCATACTTGTTTCTTGTGAGATGTTGGTCTGATATTTATTCAGTTAGAATTTGCCTTGAGTCTAGTTTGAAATGAATTGACTGAGTTTGTGAAACGTGAAAATGATTGAGGCGTTCCTTGTATTTTTCTTTCCCTTTTCTTTTTCTCAGTAAATAATTCTCACTAGTAGCCTTGTTGATATTTTTCCTTGATAACCTCGTATGATGATGTTGAAGATTGATGATTTGTTTAATGGAGGTGGTGATTGTTGAGTTTTGTCCAAAAAAAAAAAAAAGAATGAAAAATGGAGGCAGAATGGATTTTACTCCAAGTGCTTGACCACTAATGTAAGTGGAAATGAGCAATGAGTACGGGAAACCGGTCTAGGAGACTCGGGCGGAAAACCCGAAGGCTAAACCTAGATAAATTGTCCAAAAGGTTATCCTAAAAAAAAAAGAAGAAAAAAGAAGAAAGAAAAAAAAATGATGATGTTTGAATAATTGTTTGGGAAGTGTGTTGGTGTTGGAGTTAGTAGGAAAGAACCGGTTAGTGTTTGGTAACTGGAGGTGTTCATGATCACAGTTGGGTGATGGAATTGAGTTGAATTTGTTTTTATTTGAGCTGCTTAACCTATATGTATTCTACCCGATCCAAAGAGCCTACATTTCATCCATAGAAGTCCTCTTGATTCATTGTTTCATGAACATGATTGTTTTAGAGTAAAAGTTAGATAATAGGCAAACTTATGATTGATCTGATTGATTACCAGCTTGAGCGTACCTATCTCATATTTGCGAAAGAGACTGAGTGAGGCATATGATATATTTTCGTACTCGAGAGTCTTTGTTTTTCGAAATAACCAAGTTAATAGTTGAGGTTTGCTATTATGATCATTGGAATTCTTCTCGACTTGATTGAATGGTTTGAGATTAGTCTTGTTTGAAACCATGTCCATGCTCAT